CTCAAGTACCTCCAGTCTTCGCTCATCTTCAGCGCGCAAATCCCAGCATTCACATCCATAGAGGAAGATTGACCGGATGGATGCGCGGTATACACGATTCTTCGGAGCGATGGAGATATCACGTCGGATCCATAGGCGCTTTCGAAGGATTGAGAAAACCCAGCGAGCAGCATCGATATGGGCGGCAATGTCCATTTGGTTGCAACTCTGTTGGTTGCACGATCTGCAGGTGCGATAGAACGCAGTATGGTAGAACGCCCGACGCCAGTCCAGGCTGCCAATAGGTCCTTGCCGTTGCCCCAGACACACTGACCCTAATTCAACAGGCAACTTCTTTTTACCGTAGTCAAATACCGGCAAAGGTGATGACCTACGACGTCAGGGCATCTGAATCAGGCTATTCTGTCTTGCGCTTCAGTCCGCCGTCCTACCGTTTATCGTCGACTCCGCGTTGAACCGAAAAAACATACAACTGAAAAAAAAATGTTTTGACCGTTTAGACCAAATTGTCGTTTTGTGTGAACGATTTGCAAAAAAAGTCGTCTATAGTTTCTCCGATGTGAGGTAGCATGACACATCGGGTTTTTCAAACCAGCTGTCCTACGCAGTGTTTTGTGTTTTTAAGGCTTTCACAAGACGCCCTGTTTGTGAATTTCTCCTCCTTGAATTGCGATGTGTTTAAACTCGTCAGACCCTTCAAAAATTCCTAAACAAATGAATACGCAGCAGCAAGCCTGCAGCGACCGGTCCAGTCCCATAGCTTAAGTTCACCTTGAAAGACATTATTCAGTAGTAGTGCCTTTTAGAAGCTCTCAGCAACCCAGTAACGCTTCGACGAAATGCCAGCACAGCATACTGCGTGCCTTGCTTTTAGGTGAGCATGAATAGGCTGGTCAAAGCTCCTTTGCCTTGAAATCCCTTCGCATTTCACGCCCGGTACTCTAAGAGTACTCAGCTGCTGCTTATTTTGAGTCTATCTATCGCATCCGATTGATTTTGAAATCAAGAGGCTGGGAGTGCTGGTGTGTGCAAGCTTTCTGCTTACCCGGAAAGCGTGTTTATCTTGGGTCCAGATGTCCGTTGACAGAGTTGGCGTCTGGATGCCGTGCTTCAAGCGTAAGTCTTCCCGCTTTTTAGGTTCCTAGGTCAGCAATGGTCGCTCCTTGAATATCGAAGTTTTGGCCAGTCTCTCCGATATGTGTTGCAGGCTGCGAGTTTGGGTCAAGTCTCCGGGCCGCCGCTTCGTGTTCGTGCAGGCGGGTCTGCAATGCACGCCCTGTTTATCCAACGTAATTACAGTCTGCATCGTTGCAACGTATTTTGTAGACAACTGCGGCGGTTTCAGTAGGGGGCAGGCTGTCTTTGTGTAGCATCACACGGCGGCATATTTTCGCCTGAGTTCGGTGGGCTATGCCTACTCCAGCGGGTTGTAACAGTCGAGAGACTACTTTGGAGCCTCCTTTTATGTACAGTGGTCGCCATAGACCATGTAATTTTCCTAAAGTTGT